ACTGTAATGCAAATGTACTGTTCTGTATATGCTTTTTACATAAAGGATTCATTTAGCTGAGGAAATAATTAAATGTCTTGGCTTTTCAAGTATAAAATCAAAGTTTGCAATCTAATTTGCTGAATAATTTGCAAAAATGTGCACCTTCAGTATTTTCAACTTCAACTTACAGTATTTGGCTTTCAATTGCATAGAATGACTTCTGTTACAAACATAAAATCTGAGAATACTTCTTAAAATCTTGCAAATATAAAGGCTTTTCCAAGATTTTTATATGATAAAGATCTGACCTGCCCTGTGCTATAGGGGAAGAGGAGTATAATCATAATAACCAAAGTCAGCCTTAATCCAATAATCACACAATTAAAGTCCAGCAGATGACTGACTGCTTAGCTGCTTAGTGATAGAGGAGTCCTTAACTGATGGGACTCCTGATACAGAAATTGAAATAGGCCTTTTGTATGTGCATATGTTTTTTATTCCTACACCAAGTAAATCAAAATGATCCTTTCTGTGGACAGCAGCCCTCATTGTAGAATTATGTTAAACTGCCCAGATCATAGCAAAGCCTGAGGTGTCTTTTATATGCAAAATTGTGATTCAAGCCACTTCAGAGCAGGAATAAGTTTCACCAGATGTACATTCTCTTGTACTTCAGAGTGGACAGACGACATTCTGTTTCACCCCAGCTTTAGTTCAGCTGTAGTCTGAATCCGCTGGTTACAAAACTACCTGTTTGCTAACCAGTAAAAAAAAAAATGTTGAGAAACATTGAAAATAGCCTTGTTTCCCACAAACAATCAAAAAAGTTGATTTTTCCCAGTGGCAAGAACTCATTGTCTATTTTAAAAAAATACGAAGTATCTATTTAAAGACTGAGCACATTTCTTCAGAAAGTTTTTGGATGAAAGTTTATAGCCAGCTATGTTTTACAAGTGGATTTTGGACATACTGTACATTTAAGACAAAATAGGACTCTTTAAAGTGTCATGGGTGTATAGCACAAACTGCAATGCCAAGTTGTTAATGATGAAGTTATGGGATTCCTCAGGAACAGGAATGATAAGACTTTGGTGTAGTTTAGCTAAAAATATTTAAGCAAGCCTCCTCTTGTTTTTCAAATGTCTCATATACCACACTTTTGAAAATGAGAAAATCTCTTTTCATGGTACAAAATTAAATAATTGAAAAATGAATGACTTAAAACAAGCGGACTGGTGATGTTTGTATGAATGTCCTTTACCAAATGTGGTAAAATGAATTTTATCAATGCATCATTACACAGAATATTATTGCTACTACTGTTAATTACATCATTTTCATAATGAAATAATAGTGAAATACACTATTATTCCATGTTAAACATGTTTGTAGTTACAATGATTGTTTTGGTTTAAAGAGAGATAGTAATGTCAGAGAACACTTTTCCACAAATATTCTGTAAAGATATTCAATTAACTTGCAAATGAATAGGCAATCTCATTCCTTTGCATGGTAGACAAGGCTGTAAAAGAGATGTATGGTTTACAAATTATATTGTTATTTTAGGAGCAGACATTGTATCATTTAGTTTTCTTCTTTAAAGGAAATTACATGACAATCCAGTGAGTGTTATTCTAACTGACCAGATGTGTTGTTTCACTGCTCAAACATTATACCACAGAACACTGTGGAAAATAAATTGGATCGTTATCCAAGATCAAAGTGAAGAAACTTTAATGTGTTTAACAGTTAACAAACTCTTTTTTTAATTAAACAATTTAATGGAAAATGAATAGCATTAAACTTTGCCACAGGTCCAGCAACATAAAATACATGCATAAACAACAGACATTATTAATATCTGTTTTATCATTTTAACAGGAATTTGATTTAATGTCTGGCCTTTGGAATGTCATTTCAAATCCACTGTATGTGCAGACGAAGAAAACTGGTATACTAATCATCCCTTTCTTTCAGGAGCTTGGTTTTTTATTTTCTGTGCTGTCAGGTTACAATATTTTAATAATCTGATGAATTATGTTTTCATACTCTGATTAAAAGTCAAGAATAAATTTATGTAACAAATATTTTTATAAACTTCTAAGTAGATAAAATCAAGACAAATGTCATTTTGGGGGTTTTATTTACTCATGATTCTTTATACAGTTCTTAGTTTTTCCATGTGAAGCTTTTGAAGTATATCAAAAAGTTGGATATAGCTTCCCCTGTGCCGGGGAAATTATGTCGACTGGCCTACAAGTTTTCTCACTCCTCCAGCTCTTCAGAACTTTGCAGGAGTAAGTCAGCCCCTGGAGACCAGTAGTGTCTGCTGCCGAGTCTGACATAAAGGTTAAATCCCTACTGAGACAGAGGGGCATCCCAAGTCAGAAGCTTCTTGCTGAATCCCAGCACTTGTCCTTGAGCTGTTTCAGGACAGTGTAAATGCTTTGAATAACTCTCTAAAACTACAGAGCATATGAAAATAAGATTGTCCACTCTCTCAGTACCTTGCTTATATAGATACCATGAATCTGTTTTCAGCAGTTTTTATTGGGATTCTGCCTTGTTTAAAGCATATGGTCGTATTAGTCAGTATTCATTCTATGACAAGGCTGTTCATTATAATGACGATGCCTCACAAAAATATTTAACAAAAAAAATCAGTGAGCCCAAAGAGAGATTTCTTGACCAAAATTAAGGTAGTTTTTAATACATCATACAGGAGAAACATAAAAAATGCTGGTGAATTCTTCTGTGGACTTTTATCCAAATTTTATAGTTATGCTCAGAAAAAATTGGTATCAACTTTTGGTTTGGAGAAAAAGCTTTGAGAATCTCAGTGTTAAATGTCCCAAATTACTGCAGAGGTTTAATGCTGTATTCAAACCAAAACATATTGTGATGTCGTACATTTAAATAAGGAAAGGAATTCTTATTAAATATATTAACTTTGATTATTTATCCTTGGTTCTTATTTTCTTTTTTTAAATGTCCTTTTTTCTGCTTTGCTTTTTAAGGAAGGACATTCTAGGCCTTAATACCATACAAAAGCCACAAGTTTACAGTTGCTAAGCAACATGACATTAATCTTTTAGGGGAAAGGGAGTGGAATGATTTTCCATTGACTGCCCAAGAGGCCCTGAACTGCATTTGTGCTTTGTTTCAAATAGCACCGATGTTATTTATTTGTATGAACGTATCTAATAAAACCTTTTGTTTCCCTAGATACCTCATGAAACCCAAGAACCATTATGTTATATACTTATAATTAAACTACTTTTTTATTGGATGGTTTAGTGTTTGTTTTCTGCTTAAATCTAAATCAATGAAGGTGGGGGAGGGAAACAGTTTATTAAGCAGATTGCGCTTAGTCTCAGCTAACCTTCTTTCTGTCCCCTGATGACTAGTGTGATTAAACATTTTATACAATTATATATTGCTACTTAGCTTGAACTAAACACCCCTGCCCTTGTCTATATGCGTTACTTTTTAATACCATTGTCTGATTTCACTCCTTTTAACAGCCTCCGGTGCCCCACAGAGACCCATTCAAGTTCTCATCAATTTGTTAAGATTTGTAAATGCTTTGAATTGAGATTTTCTCCCTTCTTAAATAATTCAGCAGGTGTTTAATTAAGACACATAAAGCAGGGAAAATGCTGATTATAATGCTTAATAAAAAGCAGTTTTGGCCTTACTCCTCTAAATGCAGAAACCGTGAGGACTGATGTAAGCACAGCCCATATTAGGTGTAATAAAGAACAGCTGAAATCCTCTGGGGTCCAGACAACTTAGTGTAGTAGTAAAAGGAAGGGAGGGGATTAAAATGCACACTGAATGATTGATCTAAAACATGGGTTGTGTTAGCCACCTGAAATTTTAAAACCTGTTATTTGACCTTAATTGACTGTTAACAAACATACTATTCTTTGCTGTTGAAATACAGGTTAGTGTTACATTCCACTCCTCACCAGTTGATAACGGGTGCACCAATTAGGTGCTACAAAAACTGAGACATAAGAACGCATCTTGCCTTTTTTATATAAATCTTAAAAGAACATGTTCCCAGCTTTCTTTCAGGGTACTGTTTCTATACCTGAAGCATCTGAAACATTCAAGCAAACAGTTGAAGCTTTTTTCTCCAGGTATTTTTAGGAATGCAGAATTAACCTTGCTTCAACACTTCTACTTAATCAGCTAGAATGTGAAACACCAGTTTCAGTGCACAAACACAAAGAAAATTTAAAAAGTTTAAAATTTTAGAGGTGTTTTGGAGGTCCTTTTCTGAAAGCTTAATGCAAAATTAAAGGTCATGTCCTTGAAAATGAAAGTTAAGAGCACTAAAAGTAGTTGTAAAAAAACAATATTTAAATGTAATTTAACAAATTCTAAAATAACTTTGTTTTCTCTCTTAAGCATTCCCGGACATCAGGTTGGAAATCAACAAAACCATAACATATGTTATAATGTCTGACCGATTAATCTTTTAAAGATGAGAGCAACACTGTATTAAAATGATTAAGTCCTAAAATTGTGGGAAAGTCTGATAGTCTTACAGCATGCCAACAGTCCTGGCATCAATACCAGCCTTATGTATTAATCTGTTCATCAGGATTCTACACAAAATTGAGGAAGTAGCTTGTGTTTTGTGCAAGTATTTTATCACAGTTGTATTATGTTGTGAAAGTAATTCACTTTGGATACCAGAACCTGCGTATCTTAATAGCTCACCTGCTACTTTACATCTAAAGAAAACTGCTCCTACAGACAAAGGCAGGTCTTTTAAATAAATAAATGGTATGAATTGAGCACACCCTTGTTTCATGAAAGATAACATTCTAAATTCCCAATAAATGTTGAAATGTGGGAAAATAAATATTTTTAATGTGACAGGTTTCTTTACCTTTTGTGCCAACCAGGATATCTCCTGATGCCCTGGGAGTTTTCTTTTACTGTTTTTATTGGGGTTTTTTGTGTTTTGGTGGCAATAGTCTGATAGGTGGTGTCTGTCTTTACAGCTTGATGACTGCGCTCTGCAGCTCTCTCACAATGGAACCTATTTGGATTTGGAATCTACGCTGGCAGAACAGAGGGATGAGCTTGAAGGATTTCAGGAGGATGCTGGGTAAGATATGTTAATTTTTTCTTTTGTAACTGAAGGTGGGTGAGCTGCAGAGCAGCAGTCTACACATTGCTCTTCAAATGTGGTTTTGCAAAGTTTAGGGGAATAGAAAAATGTAGATTTATTTTGATGGCTTAAAGTATTCTCTCTTCATTCTTAGTGACTACGGTGGTCTGCTTCAAGCAGAATTTTATATCCATGTACACTGGCATAGGTATTGAATGCATATGGGTTGCCACGTAATAAGTCATGAAACATTTTTTTGGTTCAGTTTTATAGTTGCGTACAGCTAGGAGAATTTAGTATAAAATCAATCCAGCCTGTACTGAGAAACCTGCCTGAATTGTTTCACCTTTATAGCTGTGCAATATGTTTGTTGGCGAACATGGAAGCATTGTGTGGGAATACAAGAAGTGTGAGAACACTGGCTAATGAGAAACAGAGCTTCCAGAAGAGTCTTTTGTATGAGAATATGGATGTTTTTTTTATTTTGTGACATTTGTGTGTGGTTATAGTACCTTTAAATATGTGTATGTAAAACTTTAATATATCATTTGCATTTTATCACGTTTCACTCAAAAGGATCCCACAAATTCATATGCAGGAGGACCACTGAATCCACCAAATGAAATGGATGATTACAACTTAGTGACAGTCATTTTGCTCCAGTATTACCAGTCCACAGCAGAACAGGTGGTGTGAAACCAACTGAAATAAGTGGGATCTTTGGAAGGCCAGATGGAGAACACAAAGGGCAGAATGTACCCAGGACACAAAGGCTAAAACTCATACTTTTACGAACGATGAGGTCTTGTTAATGACCAAGTAGTTAGGACCTCAAAATTCCGTTATAAGAAGTGATGTCTTACAGTTTTCACTGATACATATTGAAATTAGTGATCCTGATATAGGGATGGGATTACAAATGACTCAACAACAAAGACTCAATGTTCAAGACACAGCAAGGCAGTATATGGTACCTTATATTTGTGATTATGACTTTACACATATCCTTACACAGATATTATAAAGAGCTGTACCATTCCATTATGTGTAGGGAATACTCTTCAAAATAGGTCAGAGGTATTCGTGAGGCATAATTCAGCTTGATGACAGCAAACAGTAGACAGAGGGAGCATTCTAAGCCTGAGCTTAGATACTGTAAATACTAGTTACAACTTGGGGAAATAAATTATCAAGTGTTAGCAGAAAACAAGAGTGTCCCACTTGTTCCCTCACAAGCTGTTTACTTTGTGATATTAAATGTGCTTAAAATGCTCAAAGTGTTGTGCCATAACACATATTCCTTCTCTTATTCTTAAATATCTCCACTGATGTGCATCACTCAGCCTCTATCACTAAGCTCTGTATTTGGAGATGGTAGATTATCCATTCTTCATATTTTGTTAGTGTTTAGCAGTAGTATTACCACACTGTAACTAGATCTTGTAAGATCTCAGAAGCTCAACAAGGCTGGACTTGGTCAGTACTGTAATGGGAGACCTACTGTATAAGGAAAACCAGGTCGCTGCAGCATGTGATGTTGCCCCAGTATTTTTACCAGAGACACTCTACTGTAAGAGGTACAGCTCTTTGGATGAGGTATCGAACACAGTTCCTGACTGGTTGGTCATTAAAGATCCCTGGATACTTTGGATAAGAGGTGTTAACCCTGTTGTCCTAGCTAAATTCCACTCTGGGCTTGTACATTATATGTATATTATCACCTCACTAAATTACCCATTTAATTCAATTGGTGAAACAATCTTTCACTTCTGGTGAATCATGGCTGCTGTAAGTCACCCATGTGCATGCTGCACTTCAGTGGTAGATGAAGTGGGTACTTTCCTGTTGGTAAAGGACTTTAATATGCTTTGACATGAAATGTGCTACATAATTGCAAAAAGAACAAATTATATTATTACTACAGCAAAGCATAATTCATAAAGCAAGTTACTGAGCATACCATAGTGTACTAATTCTATGCCAAATCTGTATAACGTTGCAACATAAGTTGTATAAGTATAAGTATAAGTTTTCAGACCAGTAAACGACTTTATCCTGCAATTGAATAATCAATTAAACTGACAGAATGATCACCAGTCTGAAACCTGACAGTACCCAAACATGATCCAGTGATAGTGGTTATAGTGATCACAGAAAACTACACATACTGTACCACTGTAGAAAATGCCCAAGGACAGGGACATGAAGGAAGGAAACTGAGAAGAAAAACTTTTTTTTCTCTGTTATTTTTATGTTGCAACATGCATCTATACAATATAATCATTGTTCTAAAAATCGATGTTACTCCACCCAGAGAGAGGTATTAATTTCTTGCAAACTCTCTCCACCTGGCCTGGAAATTAACACTATTAAATGTATCAATGCAGTGGCTTTATTCATAATATCACTTGTTCTTTAGGTTAAGAGTTTAAATAATCAGCTATTGTCTCCACCCTACTATCCCCTCAGCAATAATTGTTACCCTGCCTATTCAGCTATTAAGGTATTAAGTCTCATCTTCCCTAGAAAGGAACTTGTCTACATGTTTTCATTTAGAACATATCATATCGAGTTCATATTAGTAACATATCAGTTTATAGTTGTATGGCAATGAAATTTGAAAGATAGCCTTTTGCATTTCATTGAAGAAAGAGTAAAGAAATCTGTCTAAGTCTTCAAACATGTCAAATGTGGCGTTATCTATGAGAAAGAATCATATCCAACTGGCACTTCATATTTATTCATTTTGGTAGGGTATTATGCCAAATACAGCCCCCCCCCCCCCACAAGAAATGTCTTTCTGTATGTAGAATTTGAAAATTCATTTTTCAATGCAAGAGTCAAAAAGTGTTATTTGTTTTGCTTGCTTAACATACTCGGGTATTCTTGCTTCAAGGATGGCCTCTGGGTTGCTTCAGACGTCACTGCAAGTGAGCAGCTTTTTGATAAATGATGGATGGAGGGAAAATAATTTCTGCTTTGTTGAATGCTGTTTCTCATAACAAGACATACTTCAAAGCATGCATGTTTTCTTAAAGATTCTGATAGACATTTGAAGTTATTAAATCAATTTGACTTTTTTTGTTAAATAAAATGCCATTACTTATAGTGTTTTTTAAATGGAGGTGAGAGTTTCTGTTTTACAGTCTTTAAACAAGATTTATAGTTCTAAACAGGCTTTTGTATTGCAGTGGGGATTATAATAAAACTTTTATGGAATGACTATACCCAAATTGGATGTCTTCCCTCAACCTTTTTGTGGTAAAATGTATCAAAAACATCTTTTTCCATCCATTATGAGAAAGGCAAGGCCATGACTATGTCAGAAATTCAGGGGCCAAGCTGGAGAAGGGATGGCAATACAGTATGTCACAAGAACTTAAATTGACTATTTAAGTATCCGATCAATCTCAATCACTATGTCCTTGGGAATTGGAAGGAAACTAGAGAACATGGTGTACTTCCATTCTAAGAACAATTGGGAGAGCATGCAAATTCCTTGTAGACAAGCACTTGAGGTCAGAATGAGAACCAGGACTGTTGAATTGTCACGTAGAAGTGCTAAACATTGTGCCACTTTACTGCACAAAAAGCATTTATTTTTTTCTTTAATTAAATGTCTGTACAGCACATGGTTACAATATCTCCTACCATTTTGAAGTTAGAAACCTAATACTTTTTTGCAATTTGAAGACACTAAAAGAATATTATTAATGTGACAAACGTGTTCAGTAGGTAGTAATCCTTAGATACTATATATTGGGCTTGAAAGATACGTTTTAATCTATAACGAAAGTAAAATGTTACACCCACAATAGGTGCATGTACGTCACGGACTGTTTTTCAAATAAAACTAAACTGTATGTACTGTACATTTTTCTTGTTGTCTATACTTGTTGTGTTCTGTTGTGTCCTGACTTTATAAATGGCTTTAATGGTTTTAACCATGATGTGATGTGTGATATTCAATTTAAAAAATACACTTTTTTTTTTAATTTTCAGTGTGAAAATTCCATGAAATTATTTTGTGATTTTGATTCAGACTTACAGTATATGACATATTCATGTTTCATTTATTTGTGGTCAATTGTTTTAAATAATCATACCTTATGTTTATCAAAATCTTTTAATTTGCAGTTACCAAGAGAAACCTAGAACCTTTAACAGGATACCTTCATATATTTGTAAGGATTATGTTAAAGGTGAGAGCTGTGTTGAGTATTTTAAAGATTTTGTTTTCATTCTTGACATATATAGAACTACTGTATGTTAAGAGCAATGTGTTGCTCAGAAAGTGCAAGTGTTAAAAACATGCTTCCAGAGTACCCATTGGAAACAATAGATGTATCCAGATATCTAAATGTACCATTGTGACCAAGTTCTCCCTAGCCTGGGAGTGAGTTGAAAAATTCACAGAAGGTGGCAAATATCCCACTTGATGCTAAGCTGATTAGACACAGAGTTTGACAAACTTAGTAAAGATAATTACTGATTATTTGCTGATTATTTGAAGTAATGTCTTGTTTATTTAAACATTATGGAAGTTCTGTGCTGTACGGATATGGAAGCCTTTGTTTAAATTCATATTTCTTTGTATAATTAAATCCCTTTTATGTTATATAACAACCTGTACAAGGTTACATATCTAACATCTATTATCATAAGGAAAATATTTACATTAAAACAGTTGGTCTACTTCTTTGTTCTGGTTTAAGACGTTAATGGGATGTGTAATTCCAATTGCATGCATTCTTTGGTCTTATATTAACAATTTTGCCAACAGATTGTCTGGAGACTTTGTAGAGTAATGAAAAACACTCAGGTTTTCATCAACATTTGCTTTCATTCTGATTTTTTGTGTCTGTCATAACTCATGCATTGATAAATGTTCTACTGTATGCTTATTTCTTTTCAGAAATACCCACCATTCTCATTTTTGTCACTCTTCCAAATCAAGATACTGTATTAAAAGAAGGCTCTGACCACATTGGTATATT